ACATAGGAATTAACTTTTCAATAACGCTAACATTGTAATGAAAATAGTCAACTATAGTTGTCTGCTGATGTAATAGTAGGAAATAGATGTTAATAAGAAAAGTGACCCTTCTCTCTTAATTTTCAGTGTATGTAAAGTTTGAATTGACCAAGTGTTAAATTGCAATACGTTACTTGTTAATCTATTTTCTTTTTTTCCTTTTTTTACCTCTTTCAATCCAAAGAATTTTTTATATGTCTTGATTGACTAGAGGCAATCTTTCTTTTGGTACCCCAGTTTGGAGCTTTGACCTTCTTCAATCTTTATTTCGAACACAATAATTTTGTGTATTAAAAAACAAGAAACTGAAAAGCTAATATCTATGATGAAAAGAGCAATTCCTCAAGTACAGGGGTGTTTTCACAGGGNNNNCAAGTACAGGGGTGTTTTCACAGGGGCATTACAGGCCCCTTCACTGTAGTCGAGGCCCCACCTCTTTATTAAAAAGAAAAACTGTGGCCCACCCTCCCCAATGTGTTTTGTCTGGCAGGGGTTGTAGCAGGGCTCATGATGAAAAATGGTTTGAAAATTTGTTTATCTAGCTAATAATCAAGCTTATTTCATTGTTCCCTCTCGAACTTATTCAACTTCCACCGTATCTTTAGGTAGGATGTGTTAAAGATTGAACTGAAAATATAATAATTGTTTCTGCAAAGCAGTATAATTTAATAATGAGAAATGATTTCTGTAATGGAATAACAAATCTTTGATAATGATAATATATGCCATAATTCAATTTTCATCAACCGTTGTTGGTCAATATATCAAAATCCTCAAACTTTAATCATTTGAAGAGTCACTATATGACATGACACCAATCGGGTTAATACCCTAAATAGTCACCGAACTTTACCAAAAGTTCCCAAGAGGTCATCGAATTTCAAAAGTTCTCTAAATAGTCACTGAACTTTGCAATAAGTTCCTAAGAGATCACTGAACTTTGTTAATATCCTAAATAGTCACCAAACTTTGCCACAACTTCCCTGGATAGTCACTCAACTTTGCCAAAAATTCTCAATTGATCAATGAACCATTGATGTATGGGATCTTAATTTACAAAGTTCGGTGACCTCTTGGGAGGTTTTGGCAAAGTTTCGTGACTATTTAGGGTATTAACGAAATTCAGTGACCTCCTAAAAACTTATTGNCGTTAATACCTTAAATAGTCATCGAACTTTGCCAAAACTTTCCTAGATAGTCACTCAACTTTGCAAAAAAATCCTAATTGATCAATGAACAATTGATGTATGGGGTCTTAATTTACAAAGTTCAATGACCTCTTAGGAGGTTTTAGCAAAGTTCAGTGACTATTTAGGGTATTACCGAAGTTCAATGACCTCCTAAGAACTTATTGCAAAGTTCAGTGACTATTTAGGGAACTTTTGAAATTTGGTGACCTCCTTTTGGTACGATTGAATACGAGCAAGTTTGTATTGTCATAAAATTTATGCAATAACCTAGAATACGAATATGCAAATAAAAGCTTCCTTTCTTTTTAACATTTTGTTTTTCTCTCAAAAGTATCCTAATTTGTAAAATAGCTACCTTAAAGGGTCGGACAATGATATTATTTGTAATCTTATTCGGGACACATATTTTGTCAGTATGTTGATTTGAGTAGGGGTGTTAATTTGGTTCGTTGGCTCGGATCGCTCTTGACTCGGTTCAGGAGAAGTCGGAATCGGTCCGGTTCACAGCTCGGTCGGTCCAAGTGCGAGCCAACCCTTGTGGTTAGACGAGTCACACTAGCAAACTCGTGTCAAGACCATTTTCGACTCGTGACAACCTGATCATTAAAAAAAATTAAATAAATTGATCAAAACAAGCTAGCAGATAGCTACAGTAACATCGTAGATGTTACTGTAGCTTCCTTAGCTACCTTAACCCGTAGATACCTTTCTTAATACAAGCAGCTAATTAATTAGTTGCATGTATTAACACAGGTTGTGGTTGGTTTTAAATCACGTCAAATTCAAATTTGAATTTTAAATTTAACTTTAGTTGAAACGGATATTTTGTTTTTTTTGTTATAAATATAAAGTGAAATTTTACGTTTCATATCAATTTACTTCAATCGGCTTTAACTTGCAGTATTCTAGTTTTCAACTTCGATCTCTAATTTATTTGCTCTAATATTCAATTTTTTTTACTCTAATAGTCAGTATTTTATAATTCAAACAAAGTGCACAAATTTTAAATTTACAAAAAAAAATATATTTATCACGAATTAAAAAAAAAACTATGAGCTGGCTCGAGTAGATAAGGTCCGAGCGAAAATTTCGGATCGAGTATAGATTTTTTTGGCCGAACAAAAACTCGGCTCGGCTCGGACCAAAAAAACCTGAACTATTTTTACTCGAATCGAGCCCGAGTTTCAAGTTTTGGTTTGCGAGCCGGCTCGATTTGGCTTGTTGACATCCCTAGGTTTGAGTATCTGTACTACTTCTTTTGATGAGTTGAGATCCGTTGTCCAACTTTTGCCGTTCAATTTATTGTTCACCTAATTAATTATTGACACATCATTTTAAATTAACATGTCATCAATTTTAATTTCCCACTTTAACAACTATTTAACGCTGTTAAGCAGATCTCTATTTTCTCATTTATATAACGTTGCAAAAATATAACAATTTCGCAACATTAAACAAATGTTTCGGAAGATTATATAATCTAAGTATTGGCAACGGTTAATAAACATTGCTATAGAATGATTTTTTAGCAACACCCGTTAAACGTTACAATAAATAAAACTTTTGACAACACTCAATAAACGTTGTAAAATGCAACATTAGCAACATTCATTTAAAAAATGTTGTCAAATCTCAATTATGTTAACCAATTGCAAAATTCACTTATTAGAATGTTGCGATAAACACTTTTAACAATACTTAATTATCGAATGTTGTTTTTTATGTATTGCAAAAGATCATTTTTATTGTAGTGTAATGTATATTTTGTTGGGGGTTCGAGATCATGTAATTCCCTTTTGTATTATCCTTATAACGAAGTTTTCTTGTGTCTGTTCAAAGGGTGGAATTGAAAGTGGGAAAATGTCGTAAAATTATATCAAGGCGCAACTACATGCAAGGGATTCAATTTAAACAATTAAGACCACATTTTGTTTAATTAACTCATAAAATTCTTTATTTTATACTAATTTATACAATTATTTATTACAATTGTAACAATAACAAACAAGTTGATGAAGATGGACATGTTTTTAATTTAATTTACGTTACTTAACTTTTAACTTTTTATTATTTAGGGCTTTCTTGAGCCCCAATTTTTTATAAAATAGATTTTGAAATTGTGATTTTTCCGAAAATTTATGGTTAAAGAGTA